TGCACCTTTATTTAAAGTATTTAAATAGACTTGTACAGGGTGAGGCAATTAAAAGTTACAAAATAAAAAACAAAATAAGCTAAAAGTAAATTATTTTTTATAAAATTTGAAAAAAACTTGTATAAAAGAAATCGGAGACCCTTATGAATAAAACATGATGGAAATTTGCTTGAATAACGGAAGGAAAAAGAAAAGGGACGCTTTTGAAATTGTAACTTTTACGTACCTTTATCCAAAATATTTGTATCCCTTTCCTCAGTGGAATAGTCTCCTGAAGCCACTTAGATGCAGTCAAGTAAAACAAGACAGCACCCGTCAAGCAATTTATAGTCTAAAAAAGTGACCCAAGTTAAAAGGGTGGGAAGGGAAAAAAGAAAAATAGGGCTTAATGTAGAGCAGGATGGATTTGTGCATTGTTTTAGTGGTCCTCCTTAGTTAGATGTTTCCTTATGTCTTTAAAGTTTGATACTTAAAATATTTCATCTCTACATTACAAATAAAATGCATTGTACTCTCATCTTCAATGATAAATTCAAGCTAAAGTTAATTAAATGTCTTTAATACCTAAAAATGAATGAATGAGAGCTTTAGAATTCAGTCTAGTTGAACTTACTGGCGCAATTCTTTTGGGTCCCAAATAAGAACAGAAGGGTAAGTATTGTTTCATACTCATTTTGACACTTTGCTGAAGAGAATCTATTTCTTTCTTCAGATCAAACAAGGATTGTCTAATTGGGAGCAATCATGCAGAGCACATCAAATTATCTCTGGCTTCTGTCGGATGTCCTCGGACAAGGAGCTACAGCAAATGTTTTTCGTGGACGACACAAGGTTTGTATAGCAACATACATTTTTTGGTGTCAGCTGAAAATGCTTTTGTATGACCTTTTGAAAGGTCATACAAAGCTTTTGAATACATGCTTTCATTTTAAGAAATAAATGCAACGTATGGTGCAAGCTGTCACATATGAAACAGATGTGACTTTATCTTACTTACAATTTTTGCCAAATGCAGATGCTTTTAAAAGCATGGAAAGGCAAACTAAGATGTAGAAGATAATCTGAATCTAATTTCATCAAAAATTCTGTTACTTCCTCCACCTCATGTTTACCATTAGTAATTAATTTCATTATTCACATTGAATAACATTGAACCACAACATGGAAGAGTTCCAGTCAGTGCTTTGGCCAGGGACCTGATATTGTTGGCTTCTCCCCAGGTTATCATTTGAGCCTTTCAGAAGAGAGGGAATCCAGTTCCCAGAGGGAATTACAATCTCTCACCCTTTCTCTACACGTTTACTCAAAAGTCCTACTATATTCGGTTTGACTCCCAGGAGTACAGGATTGCAATGGTATTTAAAATTTGTAACAGAGAATTCAAAACATAGAGGGACAAGTGTTATTATTGCAGAGTGGGTTGTGTGACTTGCTTTTACTTTTAAAGCTACTCTCAATGTCTATTTTCCAGAAAACTGGAGATCTGTATGCTGTTAAAGTATTTAATAACTTCAGCTTCCTTCGTCCTTTGGATGTTCAGATGAGAGAATTTGAAGTGTTAAAGAAACTTAATCACAAGAACATTGTCAAATTATTTGCCATAGAAGAAGAGGTACATATTACCCATTGTGCTTGATGGGGATGATAGCATTTTGTATACCAAGGTTTACTATCATTTTTCTTTCAGTATATGGTAAAGTTCACAGCAGTGTTTGGATGTAACCATGATTTAGGATTATGAGAACAAGCCTCCGTGCTAATGCATGCCCTTCTCCCCTTGTCTGGTACCTCTGCAGGGAGAAAATTGGAAGTGTCTACTTGTGTTAAAATCTTCTCCATGCATAGACAAAAGCACTTCTGCAACATATAGCATATGCTAGCTAGCATGGCTGGCTGGGGCATTCTGGGAGTTGTAGGATTTTTCTGCCTAAACATGCATAGGATTGTGCGCTCAGCATATCATCTGAATCCTAAGCTGTAGCTACAATTGGTTATGATTCATGAAAACAAGCGAACTTCATAAGGCTATGTATTGATGTTGCCTTGCTGCAATTAACCATAGTTAAGATCAGTGCTTTTTTTGTAAAAAAAAAAAAAAAAGGTGCCGGAACTTACGTCGCCGCAACCACCCACACCAATCCCAAGCCGAGCAGTATCGGATAGCAGGTAGCAGACACAAAAGCAGCCCGCAGGCACTATGTTAACGATGTTTGCTGCCAATCTGCTACGATTCAAAATCACTTCATAAAATCCATTGGAAAAAAAGGTGTCGGAACGCCGTTCCGGTGCGTTCTATGACAAAAAAAGCCCTGGTTAAAATTAACAACATTTTGTTTGGCTTCAACACTGCAAACCATAGCTAATTTAAAACAGAATTGAGCCTTTCTGAACTTCTCCCTGTGGTCACAACCACAGGGGAGACAGGAATGTGGAAATAGGTGGTGAGACTAGCATTATTCTTGTGATGCTAAATTGTGTTTTAGCCTGTGTAGTGTGTAGCTTCTGTTGTGTACAGTGCAGATGTATAAATCTGACATGGAGTGGTTGAATTAAATTGTGATGTATACATTTATTAAATATTGATTATATGATTTTTAGTCATACGACTTTTTTCAGTATGGTTCCTTTTTCTAAATGCCAGAGGAAAAATTGCTTTCATTTCATATAATGGAACAGACACAAAAGAATATTTCCGTGAGTTTCTGTTCTCAAATTGGCTCACCAATTCTACACACAATTTCTTTCAATGTAACTGTTATTGATTTCAGTAAAACTTCCAAGTAGTGTACATAATTTCACTTGTTTTCTAAGGGAATTAAAAGAAAATGCCAAGTATATTCTGCTTCATAACCAATTTTGCTTTCCTGTCTGTCTCATTTGAAAGATGATACCTTCAGGGTGTTTAGGGATCTTCTCTTTTATTTTCTTAGCTGAAGATCATTGTACTTGATCTTTATAATCTACTGGAAAAGGATTTAAATGAGGATCCTGTGGATCTTTCTGCTTGATCCATTTGTAGCCTAGACATCTTTTTGACAAGGAGGAAATCAACTTCTCTATGTTTTTGGCATTGTTACTTGTTTCATGTAGCTTGCAAATCTTTTATTTTTCTTTTCTAGACAGCGTCTAGACATAAAGTCCTTGTTATGGAATTTTGTCCATGTGGCAGCTTATATACAGTTTTAGAAGAGCCATCTAATGCCTATGGGTTGCCAGAAGCAGAATTTTTAATTGTGTTGAGAGATGTTGGTATGTGAAAGTTTTTTTCCTTATGTATTTAGTATCTGGTGCAGTAATTCCCAAACCTGAGTCCCTAGATGATGTTAGACTACAAACCTCATCATCCCTGTTCCGCATTTTAAATGGTTGGCTGATGATGAGAGTTGCAGTTCAGCAATACCTGGCTCATGTTTGTCTTAGTTTGTTGTGGTACTGTATTCAAATACTTAACCTAGTTTTTATTTATATCTTATGGAGTCCAGATTTCGTGTAGTTTCTTTCATTCTGGCTGCAGCACTGTAGAACCCTTGTATCCTCAGGGATAGCTTCCATGCCCCACAGTGAATACCTGAAACCACAGAAACCACAGCAAACAGTATATATAGTCAAATTTCAACTTTTGCAGGTTGAACTATTCACGGATTTGATTATTTGCAAGTTTAATCAATAATTAAATGGATTTTGGGGAAAGTTTTGTGGCCTACTGTACCATGAATGGATGTGGGGGAGGCAGGCAAGAGGAGGAGACCTGCACAGGTAGCACTGTGTCTCTCCACAGAAAACTGCATGGGGAGCGCTCCCTTTCCTGGCTTGCCACCACAGCTGCCCCAGAATGGTCTGCTGCCCCCACTGAGGTTAGGGCAGGCGCCAGACATGGGAGTGGGTGTGCGGCTGTGCACAAGGCTTGTGAAATGACACAGGACGAGTTCCCCCAGAGCAGGCTGCGCTTGGGGTTTGGTTTTTGACTGTGGTCCCCTGCAGTGAAGTGAAACCGTGGTAACTGAAACAGTGGATAAGGGAGTTTTACTGTACAATTACCTACACCAAGCCATAGTTTACTACTATGAGCAAAGGCATGTCACTACCTTGTGGGCATACCATGGGATAATGTGCATTCCTGCAGTGGCTAGGAGAGTTTTTGGCCTAGCTGAGTCTGGTCAGCCAGTTCCATTCCTTCTTAAAGAAAGCAGACCTGGTCATGATGACATGTACCTCAGACACAGAGCTACGTAGTTCATAGACAACTATGAACTATATGTGCTCAATACAGAGCAGCTTTGAAGACTATTCAAAGCTGTGGCTGGTTCAAAATAGAGCGGCTAGAAAGTTGGCCAGAACCGGTTATCAAGACCTTGTGAATCCATTGTTGCAATCACTTTTATTGACTGCCCATCCAATTCTGGCTCCAATAGAAGTGACATTTAAAGCCCTAAGCATGTTAGGGCCAGGCTACCTTAAAGACTGCCTCTGTCCATATGACTCTGCCCATCTTTCAACCTGTGCCAGCATTACAAACTATTCTAACTTTGGCCATAATCACTTGTTTATTCCTTCTTGGCAGTCACTGATGAAAAAAAATAAAGTAATTGAAAAGCTCCCTGTTTTCCTGTAACTGTAACAGTACACTCTGTCTCTTTTCAGAAATAGGTAAATTTTAAGAATACATCTATTCATCTTTCTTTTCATTTTATCTTTAAGTTGCTGGCATGAACCATCTTCGAGAGAATGGAATAGTCCATCGTGACATCAAGCCAGGCAATATAATGCGTGTTATAGGTGAAGATGGCCAATCTGTTTATAAATTGACAGATTTTGGGGCTGCTAGAGAACTGGAGGATGATGAACAGTTTGTCTCCCTTTACGGTACAGAAGAATACTTGGTAAATTCATTGATCTTATTTCTTTTCTTCCTTATTTTTGGGGCTTTTTGATACGTAGAGAAAGTAGCTTGGCAACAACTTACATTACTGCCAACAGAACCTTAGTTGTCAATTCCTAGCTCAGCAGCATCTTGTGTGTAAGACTGCATGTGTTAAGGTGGACTAATGCATCTGTTTTTAATTGTATTTTTATTTATGCTGTTTTGTGTTGGTTATATGAGTTGCCCAATAACAGTGGTCTCTGAGCTATTCCCATAGGAAAAAAATAAAGTACAGTAATAACACTGAGTAACCAAAATCAACAACATACATTTCTTGATAGCTGCAAAAATGTAGCCTCAATTAAAAAGAAATCCTGTTGAGATAAAAACTGTGTATTCAGAGTTTTAAGGTCATATTCTTAAAAGGTCTGAGAGAATAAAAATATCTTCATCTTGAGCCAAAAAGAAGGCTATGGGTAAGCCTCTCTGGGAAGGCATTTTAAAGCTGGAAAGGTCCTTTTGCTAGCAGTTAACCATGTCAATTCACATGATGGGGCACCCAGAGAAGGACCTCTGGAGAGGAACAAAAGGTTCATATAGGTATGTGTAGCTATCTTTTGTGTTCTGTGCATGTTTTTTCCACTTTTTAGACCTTGGTAACTGCCTTTAGTTTTAAGTGCATTGTTGGGACATGTTCTTATAAGCTAATGCAGTTTGATTTTCCCTCCACCACAAATTTCCATAGCAATTATTTGTGAGTTCTTAGAACCAGGGGTTTCTGTAGTGGCAAGAAAGTTGTTTTCATGCTCTTGTTGGATAGCCTATTTTGAACTGTATTCTATCACTAACACATTCTTGCGGAGTAAAATACCAATTCTTTAAACCTATACAATCTCTTCAGTTTATTCTAAGACATTGGAAGTTAGGCCATATGGTGCCCTTTGTTCATAAATTCATTCCTACATCTGTCTTTTTTTCCACCCCCCAGCACCCTGATATGTACGAGCGAGCAGTACTGAGGAAAGAGCATCAAAAAAAGTATGGTGCAACGGTTGATTTGTGGAGCATAGGGGTGACATTTTACCATGCTGCAACTGGAAGTTTACCCTTTCGACCTTTTGAAGGACCTCGCAGAAACAAAGAAGTGATGTAGGTCATTCTAGCGGAAATACTCCATCCTCAAATTTTTCTAGCAAATAAAATACCAAAATCAAGTGTTTCACAAACAGTACAAAGAATCAAATTGTTTGTGTGTGTTATTCAAATACTTTCTTTAATACCTAATACCATGTTACACATACTGCCATTTTGGTATCCTTCACCCATTATAATAAAGTTAGTTGCATTACTGAAGTTTTGGAAAATGTTTTAGCAAACAGGCTGAATCAATGTTTTCTAGTTCTCTTCAGGGCAGATTTAATTTGGTATATTTAAGAAAGCAAAGGAAAATTGTGTTTGGTGTCTGAAATATTTCAGCATTTACAGTGGGTCGGTTCACATCCCATTAATGGTTTGCCACTAAATCACAGTATAAAAGTAACAGATTATAATTGGAAAACCTTCTGGTACAATATTTCATACAGGTCTTGCTTTACCATATGTATGTATTTTACATTGTGATGAAATTTGCTGAGCATGAATTGTATATTGCATTCCTCATTCACAAAGTTTAATAATTCCATACTGTTTATTTTACCCAGATACTATTTATTTATATATTAGAACTATGTTCCACCCACCTTTAAAAATGGAACTCCATTATTATGAACCCAGTAAGCATAAAATCTTGAGAATGGCATATTGATTGATTTTGAGATAGTTTGAAATCTATGGTTCAGAAGGCATACTCTACTATGTTGAATTGACTGGAATAAGCACTTTATGCAATAGAAAACATTCTGTTTTCCTGTGAACAAATCTGTCATTTTAGCACTAGTAAGTGTACTGGAAAGCTGCTTATCAACAAAATGTGGCTCCTTCCCTAAGCTGCAGTCTAGTCAAAGTCTTAGGGAATTCATATAAATTTACATGTGTTTTCATAATAATTCACATATTAACATAACAAAGTGTTGTTATTTTATGTGTACTGTGCCTTTCTAAAATAAACTAGCATTCAAAGCTGCTGTTGAAGGTTTTACTGTGTCCCATCTTTCCTGATGGCTGTGTACTTTATTGCTTTTATCTCATAGGTATAAAATTATAACTGGAAAGCCTTCTGGTGCAATATCTGGTGTACAGAAAGCAGAAAATGGTCCAATTGAATGGAGTCGTGATATGCCTGTTTCCTGTAGCCTTTCTAAGTAAGAAGTTTTGACTTGTTTAAATAACTTAGATGGAGGTTGACAGGTGTTGAGAGCAAGAGTGATGGCAGGCTTTGGCAAGTATTCCTGCAGAATGCAAGTTGCATCACTTTTGCTGATTCAGGCTCAGTAGATGAATATTTCAGTGGGATTGAGAAGCAGGCGGTTGCTCAAAGTCCTGAGATGCAGCACGGGGAGGATGCAAAGGTGATTAGCTCAAGGACAGACCCGGTGGCTGGCCAGACAGATTCTGGGACTAGCATGGAGATACAGCTAACAGGAGGGGCTGCTGGGACGGGGGAATACACAAAGAGAGATCAGCCCCTCGCCTCGGAGCTGGCCCCCTTGGCTAGGCATCAGCAGAATTGAGAGAGTCAATTAGATGAAGATCATGAGAAAAAGAGGCATGCTTACCTCTACAGCGCCCCTCCCTGAGGATTGGGACGCAAGCAAAGAGAGCTTTGTGAAGTAATCACTGGACTGGGTTCACACTGCTTTGTGAATGCTCAGAGACTTGTCTGGATGATTTGCATTTGGAAACAATAAAGAGTATTTTGCAAGAGAAACAGCCTGATCAGCAGGAGGAAACATGACTTGCAACACCAGGGATCAATAATTTTTGTTTAATTTATGTTCTGTATTGATGATATTCCCTGTGCTTATAGAAAGTTTCTTTTGCTCGTTCGTAATTTTAATATTAACCCATTGCTTCTTAGAAGCATGGGATGGGCAAAATTTAAATATTATTGCTCAGACTAATCTGTATAGTTGAAACATTGGTGGAAAAGAGGAATATGATTGCTTCTAAAATCACCTAGTGTCTCTTGGGTATTGCTACAAGAATGTCAAGAAGAAGAATTTTTACAGAACCCAGAGATCATTTTATGTGGGATTTTTCTGTGCATCAGCTGTGTTTGCACATAATAATAAGCTAACATTCGGGAGAGTCCTAGTTCCTTTGGTTGTGAGCAACATGTTTTTGCACACTCCCTAATCATTTCCATTTGGCTTCTGTCTTACTGCTCCTAAAAAACCAGCAGTTGGAAACTATCTGCAGTCCTTGCCTTTGGATCCTCACTTGCCAGTGGAGCAATAAACCACAAGCTTTGTTTCAGGTGTAATGCTACACTTCCGCTTTTCTTTCTTGATAGTTTCAGGTTTCTTTCCCTGCTGTAGGTGGGAGGATGAGTTGCATGAGAAGGAGCAGGCATCTTCCACCAGCATGCTGCTTGTAATAAATTATGCAGCATTCTCCAGAATACTGGTTTATGTGTAGGTGTGAACATGGCAATTGTGCTTCAAGTGGTGGTAATATATCACTAACAGCATATAGCTAAATTTGAGGTATATTTAGGCTTTTGACTACACAAAAGTGAAAGATCATCATATTGCCTTTTTCCAGCAACTTGTGAGGAATTATCAGATAGGTAACCAAGTTTCCTCTTCTTGCAAGGTATGTGTCACCAGTGATATGCTCAGTCCTTCACGTCTGTCGTGTTTAACTGAAAGGCACCCCAAATATTTTTATGCTCTGGGAGTGCTGTTACACATAAATATTAGTATAGTCAGGTTTGGACTGAGGAAGAAGAATCATGCTCAGCTCTGCTTTAATATGTGTTTATTTTCTCTGTGACTTTTAGGGGCCTGCAGGTACTACTTACCCCTGTCCTTGCAAATATTCTTGAAGCCGATCAAGAGAAATGCTGGGGATTTGATCAGTTTTTTGGAGAGACAAGCGATATACTCCACCGAGTAATTATTCATGTCTTCTCTTTGCAACAAATGACAGCGCACAAAATTTATATTCACAATCATAATAAGTAAGTGTTCCTTTCATTTCATATGCTTATTATTACCTGAGCACTAGAACTGTGATCACTGATCAGAGCTGAGTGCCTATGAAAAGAATATTTATATTTGTCTGAGGTATTTTTATTTTGCAGCCGAAAAGCCTCCCAAAGTTGCTTACATACAATCAATCAAACAGGACAGTGCCTGCCCGCAGGCTTACAATTGGAAAAGGGAAGAGGAATGGAGAAGGGAGAATGGAAAGGTTGTTTTTGCAGGACTAGTAGAATGACTCAACATTTCAGCTTCCTTTGTGCAGCCTGCTGGAATAGCTTCCCTCTTTAATTCTGTCTTTTTGTTTCTCAGTGGATTGATATTTTACTGCACTGGGAGACACGTCCTAAATATGTAGTGGTTTGTTGTCTTAACAGTGTTGCTGCCTTTCATGAATTGGTCTACAAGCAGACAAAAATACCATCACACAATCAAGAACTGATATATGAAGGTCGGCATTTAGTCCTGGAGCCTAACAGATTGGCACAGGCTTTCCCTAGAACCACTGAAGAAAACCCCATATTTGTAGTTAGCAGGGAGTCTGTGAACATCGTGGGACTGCTTTACGAAGAAAGTATGGTGGAGTCTTAAATCTTAAGTGTTATAAATAAATATTTAAAGTGATGTTAAGTTTCTAACTTCTTTGAACTTTATAGTATAATGCTACCATCCTCAAGCCACTTAGAAATTATTTTTTAAAAATGAGATTCAACTTTTATTACATGATCATGTAACGATCAACCTTTGGAATATGGTGATGTTTTTTCTTCTCCCATCTGACCACTAAATGTGACTCCCTGCCCACTCCCACTCCTTACTGCCATAAGCCAAGTAATAAGTTGCCGTAAGCCTAGGAGCAATTAGGGTTTATGCAGATTCTACTAAAACAAGGAGTGCTTTTAAATAGGTGTAATTGGGCAGGGGTGGTGATGGCATACCATCCACAGCCTTTTATGCAGATTTTGAAGTATCAAAGTTCTGTTTTAAAATAGCATTTTTTCATAACTGAAATTGAAAAAAGGAAAAAAGGAAATTTTATACCAGAAGTTATCTTATAAATAGTTATTGATTAGCTTATCTTATTTTTATGTAGGAAGGGGTGGTGGTGCAGTTTGCTCTGGTGTCTTCTGCAATGTCTGTTTATTTCAGAAAGGTCCTGCTATAGTATTATCTGATAGAATGCACCTGATGGTTGCATTTAAACTTGGAGGTGTGATTTAAATGGCTCCCTTCCATCCACTTACATGGGAGTGATCTCCATTGAATGAAATGCAGCTAGTTTCTGAATAGATAAAATTGCATTGATAGGCAATGATCCTATACAGGTTTACTTGAAAGTCAGTCCTGTTGAACTCAGTACAGCCTACTTCTGTCTAGCCATGCAAACAATTGTGTAGCAGGTTGTGTGCTGTGCGTTAGAAATCCCTACAAAAGTATATTTATTCCTTTTAAACAAACGAGAGATGCTATAGTACAATAGGAAGCATATACATGTTATAGATAGATAGATAGATAACAGTTATTTCAACAGCACTACAAGTTTTACTGCTTATTATGAAAGTAAAATAAAAATATTCTTCTATTCCAAGGTCAGTAACATTTTCCCTGGTAAGTACAGCAAAAAATAGATGATGCAAAAGGACCTTTTAGGAATATTTAGGTATAGCATTTATACTACCTGAAAATAATTATACAACAACTTTTAAAATATTGTCTGAAAAAGAAAATTCTATATATGATAAATTCCATATTAATGGAGTCATCTATCTAGTTCAAAAAACAAACTAATAAATTGCTTTGTAAGCTATATTTTTAAATTTAATGCACATTCTTGACAATGATGTCTGTAATACATTTTCTATGTATAGTTCCTGAAATCTTAACAGTATACATTGACTTTTTATCTTTTTAGTTTTGTCTCCTTGAGTAGAAGTAGTTGGTTATTTTAACAAATCATACTTCAATTTGTCATTAAATTCTTAATTTGGATAACAGTTTAATTTTTTAAAAAAATCTGTTCCAGTTCTGCTTCCTAAGGTCCATCAACGTTATGATTTGGATACGGATGCAAGCATGGCTAAAGTGAGTATCTAATTATAACTGTGTAATAGGGCTGTTGTAGATAATAGAAATGAAATGCATGTGAGGTATTTGCTTGGTTCACATGTCACAATAAAAAGTGTCAGTGAACTTGTGTGGCTGTTGTTAAACAAAACAAACCACTGGCCACCTGTCCGTAGCTTGTTTAGTGTTGAATGCAAACCAGGAACTCTGCCTTGGCTCTCTTCTGGCAAACTAGAGACAGAACCCAGCAACAAATACAGAGCTAAACTTCAGAGCGTACTTGGCAGCTGCGACTAAAATTCCTTGCCTCCTGTGGTGTTAATGCCTTTCCCAGCCATATAATGCAGCGCCTCCAGTGTGTGTCTGCTCCTTTTTGCCTGCATTGTAAAAGTGATCTGAGAAAACGCAATTCTCCATTAATTCTGTCTTGGTCACAGGTACTGGCCAGGATTCCCACCTGCCTCAACCATTCCTTTTTCATTTTTTTGTCTTAATCTAAAATGTTCATCTTCTGTGACTGGAACCTCTGTTGCTCTCTGTTCTCTTGCAAATGGTAGTGAGTGGTATTGATGGCTTTTACGTATCTTTCAGGCAGTGACAGGAGTTGTATGTTATGCCTGCAGAGTTGCCCATGCTTTACTGCTCTACCAAGAACTGATGCGAAAGGGAATCAGATGGTTAATGTGAGTGGTGCCATTACTTGAGTCCTGCTGAATGCATTCTGAGGCATCGTACTAACCCTGAATCATGAATTGTGGGACCGGATACTCCATGCATACCATATTCATCCAGCCTTAAACAAACTCATGCAATAATTGGGTGATGGCACTTCATACAAAATAGGTCTTTACAAAGTATCCCGTTACCCATTGCTCAAAGGAAAGTGGAGAACTAACTGTATTTTAATCATGGGATGGATCCAGATTTAGTCATGCTTGACATAAACCAGGGGTGGAGAATGCAGAAAGCAACCTTCCACTGAGTCAGAGCATGGGCACATCTAGCCCAGCAGTGTTGACAGCGAGTGGCAGCAACTCTCCAAGCTTTCAGGCAGGAGATTTTGGGATACCAGGGACCTTCTTCTGCAAAGCATGTATACTCTGTCCTAACCCTGCCCTGGCTAGAACTGATGGGAGTTGTAAGCCAAACATATGGAGGGCCACAGGTTGCCCATTCCTTGGTGAAATCTATGAACCCTAACTTAAGTCCTTTTGATTTCACTGAGTCTACTGTAAATATGCTTAATTCTCAAAACAATCCTGTCTAAATTGGTTTGTGTGTTGGATGGTGGGATCCTACACTTGTTTTGGCAGAAGTAATTCCTACTACTTGTAGGAAGTAATTCCATGAAGGGGGCATGCGCCCCACTAAAAGTGCTTGAGATTGCTTTACCTTTTCTGGAACTAGTTCACAATGTTTGCATCACAGTAACTGAATTTAACTTTGAACAATTCAAGTTTATTGTGAGTGTGCTGCAGTGAGTTTCTGTAAGTGGGCTAGTTTTTGCATAAGATCTTACATAACTTTCAAGAGGTTTTTAGCTATAATCTGTTCAAAGCATATGATAAAAATTAAAATATATGTACTAATTCATTTGGTGCAATTTCTAGTGAAATTATCAAGGAAGATTACAATGAAACATTTCGCAAAAAGACAGAAGTTGTTATCAAACTGGAATTTTGCAACAGAAATATAGAAAAAGCTGGGAAAATGTGAGTATGATTTCTGTTTTTAGAATAAATTCAGTACTGTAGGAAGGTCTGCTTACCAAGTCAAAGATAACTCTGGTTTTAAAAGGACTGGGTAAGGTTATGTCAATGACTGATTAAATGACTGACTAATGAACACTGTAAACCAGAGCTGGGACATAGTACTCCAGAAAAAATCCAGATGTGTTGCTTGTGAATTCTTTAAATGAGTTAATAATTTGCTACTTTTTGTGGCAATGCCTCGGTACTAAAACCAAGGATATCTTTACTCCAAGGTTTGTAGAGCGTCTGCATGGTTAAGAAGAGGCACTACTATGGTATCCTCTGCTTAGCCAATCTGTCTCGCTCTGCTGTTAGCTGCAGGTCAATTAATCTGAGATAGCTCTGGGGTGGAATATCCTTTATTCAGTTTTGCCATAGCATTAATCCCTGAGAAAAATTCCATAATTGACCAGTTTCGATGAAAGCTGAGCAGTCCTTGTTCTTAATGCATCTTACTTGCTCTTTTTTTGCGGGGACGGGACGGGGGGATGCTTTGTAAACTAGGGAAACCTAAGAAGCCGCAAAGTTGCTCACGTGGGATATCACTAACAAAGGTTAATTGGCTATCTTAAAATGCTGCATATTTGGAAGGTAGCCTTCAACACAACTGGGAGAATTTTCACAGACTTTTAGATTCTGGTTGCATCCAAGCCTCTCTAGGGAAAGAATGATCTTCTGAAATCTTAACAGTACACAGACTTTTTTGGCCCTGGGGGCCCTAGGCAATGCTGGATAGCTACAGCACCTACACACAGAGGCACACACCAAGAAAGCATGCACAGGGATCCCAGTGCAGTTCATTTTTTTCTTCCTGATAGCAACAGTGCAGAAGGACTGATCTGTATCAAAATCACCAGTAGAAATTTGGTAATGAGGAGGCCTCCCCTAGGGGGCTGCAATTGAGGCGTATGGGTCAGTGAGGGGGGAATATTTACCTCTGCCTTCCAGGCTTCACAAACGCACTATAGATGATAGTAAAAGTCCAGCTAGAGCCCGAATAATATTTTTATTCTGTTTTTTAATTACATTTAATATTACCTTTAAAATATCACCTTTAAAGATGTAATCACAGTAAAAAGAACTATTATTGGTTAACTTTGTCTTGTTTTTTTGCAAACAGATATCAAAACTTGTTGCAAATCAATCTAGCACCAGAAGTGGATGAAATCTCAGACATACACTCAAAGCTGTTACGGGTAACCACTTAAATATTACAGCATTGTAGTACTCAAAGGTCTGTCTTCTAAATTTCAGCTGTACTTAGTTTTTTCCTGTCAAAGAAAATATTATCAGGATTTAGCATGTTCATATCATGTTTCCTATATGGTTGTATATGTACAACCATATATATGTACATATGTATATGTACAACCACTTCCTGGGTGGTTCATCTTGGCATGGAGATCTGGGTTGTTGAGAATGAAACAATGTAGAGTGTTAATGCATTAACAAACCATGGGTTAAAGCTCTAGGTTTGTTTCGCCCTCAGAGTTTCAGGAACAGACATCACAGCGAGAAATCAAGAGTAGGGTTTCCTTGGGTGGTTTAGCAGAGTAGAGTGGCATAATTGGTCTGGAACCAGCACATTTGCTCACTTCTGACAGTTCAGAACCATCCCCAGTTAAGAAACCACAGGTTCTTTAATTATTTTAATGTAGTCTTAATGTTGTGGGTTTCTGGCAGCTTATGTATGCAATTTCCCATTTTCAGCTTTTTCCTTTAATCAGGATTTCTTGGTATACATGTCCCAAATTTCAGCATTGTCTCAGTGATAAAATAGGAATATCTTGTATTCCTGTTGTAGTTGTTGGATCCTTCATGGTTAAACTGGTAATGCTGAATTTGTTGCATCCTTTCAGCTTTCTAGCTCACGGGGAACAATAGAGACTAGTCTTCAGGATATCAAAAACAAACTCTCTCCTACTGGCCTTCTATCTGATGGCTGGACTAACCAGGAAGGCACCCATCCAAAAGATAGAAAGTAAGTGACATTTCATGTTGAGTGCTTTTTGTGCTTTGTTAAAGATCATATATCCTGATATGGCATGCAGCCAGGTTATATGATGGAACTCCTTGCCCCATATGTACCTACCCAGGTCCTGAAGTCGTCTTTGGGCCTCCTTCTCTGGGAGTCCCCTCCAAAGGAAGTGAGGTGAGTGGCTACCAGGAGGAGGGCCTTTTCAGGTGTGGCACACCAGCAGTAGAATGAGTTCCCCAAAGAGGAATGCCTGGCACCTACTTTGTATTTTTTTTCTGTGCCAGGTGAAAAGTTTTGAATTTTTCCTGTATGATAACAGTTAAACTTTTTAACTTTAGTTTAAATGTTGCATTTTATCCTGTATTGCTGCTATGCTGATTTGCAATTGCTGTAAATTCGCAATTGCTGTAATTTTGTTGTTTTGTGTTAATTTTTGTTGTTTGTGTGTGTTCAACTTTTGTTAATTGCCTAAAGCGTCTCTGCTATAGGGCAGCATAATAAACAAACAAAACAAAACAAAACAAGTATTTACTTTCTTCCTTTCCCATCTAGCCCAGAAAGGTTACAAGTACTACTGAATTCCATTTCAGAAATTTACTATCAGTTCAAAAAAGACAAGGCAGAACGAAGTAAGTATTTATAATTTATTCCTGGATTGATGCAATGGTTAGAGTGGTGGACTGGGATTTGGGAGATCCAGGTTCTGGTTGCCACTTGGCCATGAAACTCACTAGGTGCTTTTGTGCAAGTTACTGAATCTTAGCCTAAGCTATCGCACAGCCTTGTTGTGAAGATAAGATGGAGAGGAGGATAATGTAAGCCACCTTGGGTTCCTTACAGGAAAATTGGTGCATAAATAGAATTAAAAGAGTTAATGGGGTGTTTGACTCCATGAGCTTGGACTGTGAAAGCAACTAGGATGTGTTTTCAAGTAGTGAGTAGAGTTCTAATGTACCATTCAGGAAATGTTTAGAGTACAGCAGAACCCCATATTTGTGTGAATCAGTTCCAAGCCTCCCAGCAGATGCCTGAAACCACAGATAATAGTGAACTCTATGTATATTGTATACATTTTTATATAATTTTGTTCATTCTTACCTCAGCATTTTTTCTTTCCCTATTCAGTCTAGAATCTTTGCTTACTGGAAGCACTTCATGACTTCCTTTGGCACTTTATGTCACTTTATGGCTTCTTTTTGGCACTTTACAGCACTTTACAACTCCTCTTTATGGCTGAGGTCAACTATGATTAACTGAAAATGCAGTAACGAAGGCATAGGATATGGGGGTCCTGTATAAGAAATCGCAAACCATTATTTTATTGCCCAATTTCATTGGATTTTCTCTTCCTTTAGGACTTCCTTATAATGAAGAACAAATTCACAAATTCGACAAGTAAATGTTTAAAATATTATAAATTTTGTAATAACTGCTATTCAGAGTTTTGATCTTTTACTGTTTCAAATCTTTTTAGTGCAAGTGGTATAAATAAGTTCCAAAGGTTTTTCTGCAGTTTGGGTCAAGAAAAGATTTCTTTCGTAAAGGCCTCATTATTGCCTGTTTTAAGCAAAGGGAGGAACTCTGCACAAAGAGCCATTAATCACTTCCCTGCTATGGCATCAGTCCCTTGTTGACCAATATAAGCTGCTAATACCAGCAAGGGTCAGCTGCACAGCTGTTGGCCCCCACCATTCCCAGGCATCTGTCTACATCCTTGAGATGCACAAGCCAAAAACAATTCAACCCATGACTTGTACAGGAACAATAAACTGTTGGATTAATCAATCTTCCTATGTTCTGCCCTTGCAGTGTGAGCTAAAATGGTTGGCGATGAGGTGCTAGATTCACTTCATAGCTCCCTACCCATCCCATTAAGGATTGCTCTCTCTGCGCATTACCACATCTTTTTGTTTCCCCAAGTGCAACTGTGAAAATTGAATTCACAGTTCAATTTGCCATGAAGCAGATTTTCCCCACTGTGTTGCTATCTGTAGAGATTTTTAGGGGAAAAAAGTGAGGGCAAAGTTTCCTACATGATAGCATTTCATTCATTGTTTGCAACTCTCAGGATTTCTAAATTTCCAGATCATGTCTTTTCAAATGATAAATTTGTTTGCAGAACTTTAAAACACTATTTGAAGTATAGTATAATATTCTATTTATTAGGTTTTGGCTATGTGGGCTACCCTACCACTTGAAAACAGCCAACAAACTCTTAAAAATAAAATCCCTTTTAAAATATGTGAAGATCTATATATGAAAATAAATTATGACCGTCCCATTTTAGCATAGTCTTAATCATTAAACGCTAACCCAAGGAAGAAAATATTTCATTTGCAGAATTTATTACACCTGGATTTCTATGTATTTCTAAGCTATGAGTCACCAATTTTATTCATTTTGGGGTGAATGGCTTATGTAGAGAACAGATCAGGAGCAGCCGCCACTTAATGTTTAGCTTTATCCCATGTGCTATCAAGAGGGTGCACTCTTTTGATCTGGAAAATGACAACAGGATTCCCAATATGTAATAATCTCAAAACAGTAGGGAGCCAGTTCAAACTAAAGGCGTACTAGTCTAATATATATTCCTTATGAAACTAATGAAAAGGACTCAAGATATTACTAAGATATGTAACTTGGCTTCATTCCACTCATTCATGCTCCCCACCCCTGTGTGCATGTGTGTTTCTTGATAGTTAGATCCAAGTAAGTTGGGATAATAGACTACCTGGAAGTTATATGACAATATACTGAGTCTTATTTCTGTGTTACAGGCAGAAGCTTTTTTTGCACGCGACAAAAGCCATGACCTTGTTCAAGGAAGAATGTGTCAGCAAGTATGACACTTTCTTAGACAAGGCAGAAGACTGGATAAGGCAAGATTCTTTGTGTGTGTATTTGTGTAATGTTGAACACTGTAGGAGCAGTACATACTAACAAAAAATTATTTTTACAATAGATTCTATTTCTTTCCAGGAAGATGTTTAATTTAAGAAAACAACTACTGTCTCTCAGAAAGCTCTGCTTTGATATTGAAGATGAGGTGTCCAAATACCAGGACTATGTAAATGAGGTAAAAGTTCTCCGCAGTTATTCCATGTCAGTATTTAGAAAGGAGAGTTGCCTGGCAGAAATTCATAATAGCCTGCCCAGGTTTTCCAAAATTCAAAAGCAATCAATTTCTGGCTCTCTCTTCTCCAGCAGACTATGAAATTTATTCTATACCCTGGAAGTACCAACACTGCTCCATTAAAATAACTGCCGTTCAAGGGTTGTCGTATTGTTGTGAGAGTTGTGTAAGCAAAGGAAAAATCATCTGGAAACATTTTAATTTTAAAATTATAGCTTCCAGCCCGGATGTATCAGGAAATTATGCAATCCAATTTTATAATCTGTTTCAGGAAAGCCATCCGTATAACCACAAAAAATAAGCAGTATATCCATTCATCCACTTGATAAAATGCAAGATGCTTTTCAAAAATGTTTGAGCAACTGCACCAAATGTTGAGAAACTCAGCATTTAGTTGACCATGTCCAGCCATAAAAAGCTAGGCAGAATTCACTGATATTTTTCCAAAACTGGAAAAGAAATCAGAATCAGTAAATTTCTAGTGATAAAATAAGATGCTGGACAAGACACTTATTTTGAGAACAGGCATGGCCAAGCCTTGCTAATTCTCTGGTTCTGTAAGTATTAACATTAAGTAGATAAAAACTAAATAACATTAAGTAGAACAGTTAATACTGTCTGGGTTGTCCATGTTAGATACACATCTGAATTACACTGTTATTTTTGTTTCCAAAACTGCATAAATTCTGATTGTTAGCTTTGTATCTAGATAACTTTGTATTCAATAAATATCAATATACACTGAAAGCCTAAAGGAGCTCCCCAGTGAGGGTCTGATGAAGTCATCAGGAGAGCAAGTGCTTTTAAACTTGTGGATACTGTTTTGTCTTTTACATGACTTTATGCATTTATTGCAGTTACAAGAAACATTGCCTCATAAGATGATTGCAGCTTCCAGTGGGATTAAACATACAGTCAATCCAGTTTATCCAAGTTCAAACACTTTGGTGGAAATGACTCTTGGGTAAGAGTGTTTTGACTAAGTGAATATACTTTTACCTGCTTTCCACACATTGCAGTTATGTTAAATCTTAAAATGGTCACTGTTGCCTTCATTTAGATGAAGGTTTATTTTCACTGCTAAAAAGACTAGTGGAGGAGGCATTCCTGTACATCAGGAAGCAGAGATTGCATTCAATCTGATTTGCAACCCGTTACCTTTTCTTGTAGAAACAGCCTAGTAATAAGCAGAGTTGTACAAAGAGATGATTTATTAGATCACTGTGTACTGCTGAAAGGAAAGTTGAACTGACTTTGAAATTCCATTGTTTTCTGCAGGCTGGAAATAATTACTCTTAGGCAGATGGCAGGCCCAATCAAACAGGTGTGTCTACTCAGTAGGATAGGATATTTCCCATGGTCAGTTCCACCATCTTCCAGAAAACAGGGTTTCTGAATAGTTGCATAACACTGGGTCACAATTATATTTAATGAACAGGAACATTATTTATTTCATTTTTATACTGTCCCACAGCCAAAGCTCCCTGGGCAGTTTTTAAATTCTCTTACAAGAGCTGAATCAGGAAGATGGCTCAGACCTGTGTTGTGCCGGAAGAGCTCATGCCACTTCTCTGTTCCTTAATTTTCACATCAGCTATTCATATTGTGCTAGTTATCCCAGGCCTAAAGCCAGTGTAGTATTAGCAGAAGAAAGTGCTGCTCTAGTAAAATTGGAACAACTTCTTAAATAGTACATTGAAAATAATTTCCTTATGTGGGCAGCTAGATCCAGTTAGGATACTTCCCAATTTGCAAATTCCCTTAGTTTACAGCCATAAAACAAAATGACGACAACAATGAAAACAACAAAGTAACCCCCCCCCCCAAAAAGAATATGGTACAATATTGAATTTTTTAAAAATAAAATATTAATGATCCAGCAGTAAAATAAACAAGCAACAAATGAAAGACTACCTAAATAGGAAGGTCTTAACATATCAGTGAAGATTCTGGTGGATTTCATGGGCAGAAAAGAAAAAGATTGTCCAAGGTTTCAAAAATATTTTTTTTAACTGGAAGCTAGGATGAAATTAAGCATATCATTTTTCTTGCAGTATGAAGAAACTAAAAGAAGAAATGGAGGGTGTTGTGAAAGAATTAGCTGAAAATAATCACCTTTTAGAAAGGTAAGTGGGGATTTCAATGGATTTTTTTTTTGACTTGCATATAAAATGCATTCGGTGAGGAAGTAGCTATTCAACATCTTTTAAGGATTTGCTGCATATATACACTGTTCTCATGCACAAGGAACAGTGTGGAGACCAGATCCACCTGGTGCAGTACCATACTGCAAGGCCCATTGCTGCCACTGGGTGGATAACTTGTCAGTGCCCCCCAACAAAAAGGAGTGCCAGTCAAGTAGAACAGTCCCACCTACGAGTTCTTTCAAGATAGTACATGTATATGATTCTGGCTGCATGGATGAGGTGGGTTGCATCGGTTTATCGTTTAAAATATTGTCAGTCAAATTATTTGTTAGCAATCAAATTGTGATAGAGATAAAAACCCACTCTATAGAAATTACTTTCACAGCTGGTGATAAATTGCTGATGGGAGTGGGAGAATAGAGCCCAACAGCTTGAAGGGCTAAATTGACAGCTGAATTCAAGGCAAAGATAGCATTTCATTCCTGCATCTCCATATAAACTTGATTTTGAAGATAGCTACCATTGGCTTGTTAACTTGCTTAAGGAGCTTGCAGTATATAAGAATCAAGTGATATGGCACTTTCCTGCCATACCACACACAGAACTGTTTTACACAGTACCCTAACCCACAGTTTGGGCCGTTGCATTCCAACTTGATGGGATGCGGAGCAGCATGGCGGGAGCCACTGGGTGTAGAAAGAATTAGCAGAAATCAGAATGTCTTCTGGTAGGAGTAAGGGGTCATTGGATCCAACTTAATGTTTCTTTGCATAGGTACAAGTCTGACTGCAGAAGAAAAGTACTGTGTAAATCATGCCTAAGAAGTATCAACAGTATCAACACTAAACTAGCTTATCTTTTTTCATTTAGGTTTGGTGCTTTGACTATGGATGGTGGCCCACGGAATGTAGATTGTATCTAGGTGTATATTTACTGTGATGCAGTTTATTGACTTTGCACAGATAGTGTTTATATGCAGAAAGGTTATTCTGCACTTGGCTTCCCCTTCAGTATTTAACAGAAATGTGTAAATATGTATATACTGTAAATAGAGAAAGTCTCTCTTTTGGTAATGTTAAAAGTGGTCTTAACATTTTAAGTACTATCAGAATTTTCCCTATAAAAGCTATTATGGCTGCATATTGTGGTGAGCACACTGATGCAATGCATTGACTTCAAATGCTGTCTTGGTTTATTCTTTTGTGAACACTGCTGGAGAGCTTGTGGTCTTGAACCTGCACTGCTGTTTAAAGGGCAGTTAGGCTTCCTTTTAAGCCATATGAATGCTGAAATATCTCATTTATTATAATCTGGAACTGTCCCTGCTTTGTTTCATGTGTATAGATGTCTGCCATCAAATGTTAAAAAGATACTTTAACAACATAAAAGGTATCTCTTAAATTCTAGGAGTGAAGGAAATATTGTTGGATTTCTAAACATGCCTGTTTTAAACATGTTATATTTTACCAAAACTATAATTAGCGTATTTGGGACTTAGAAGTAAGTAAAATTCAGCCTTCCATTTGCCAAATCGTAGGTAAAATGCAAAGATGAACTATTTTAAAACATTTTCTTTAATAGTGCAATGCATCTCAAATATAGTGAAACTTGTTCATCCTTTTGTAAAACTCTTTTAAAATATAATTTTAAAGTAATATTACTTTCACTGAGATCTTAAACAATAAGGTTGGTATAGACCATATGCTGATTTTCATCTTCCATAAAATCTAAAAAAACCTTAAAAGAATTGTTGCCTTTTTATTAACACAGTTAAAATATCTTAACATTTTAAGCTGTAGCAGTTTGCACAAATGTGTTCACACATTTCCTGGAAACATGGGTTTGGCATCAGACTTAGAATAAACCCATTGAAATCAGTAAAACATAAGTTAGTCATGACCAATTGAGGTCCCATTAAAATTAATGGACCTACTCTAAATATAACCAAGTCTTTAACCTATAGTAAATAGTTTATTTCCAGTGCTTTGATACATACAAAAGAAATGAATCTTATTGACTCCAGTGGAGCTTATTTTCCTATATGTACAGGAATATGATTGCAGTTCTCAGCTGGTTTATCAGAATCAGTCCTCAGAACTATCATCTGGTTTGAGACTATTCCAGAAGGGAATTGAGTCTTCATGCACAAGCTCAAGTTGGGGCTTGTGTAGGTTAACTTTCCAATGGACTACTCTTTCTGTCTCCTCCATTTTGACCAGGAAAAATATATCCTTATTTTACTATTATAGTCCCAGTGTTCATTGCTTTTATAATGAAGCTTCTAGTTCTAATTCTTCCATTTTGAATGGAATGAAAAGAACAGAAATGCAGGAAGGGTTCTCCATCTTGTCACTGTTCTTTTTAAAATTCAACCCATTATGAAGAGCACAGACAAATAATAGGCAATCTGTAATTGGCAGGACCGCAGTCTTGCATATTAGTGTTTAAATCCCAACTATTAATAAAGCTAACTTAGAAAGGGTGGAAGAAAGTTTAGATACTAGTTTGGAAGGATCACCAAAACATAGATGGTAAATTTGTGTGTAATCTTGCTGCCTTATTGTACATAAATTCCTACTTTGAAATGCTGAGATTATATTTCTGCAATGTAATTGTTTTATAGTAGAATTCTTTTGTACTTTTTATTTTACAGAACTATCATTTTGCATAACTGCTTTACTCAATGATCGTTGAGGGTTGGGGAAATGGGATGATGGATTTTATTTTCTTTATACTGAACTAGTCTCAATGAATAGTGTAAATGATTCTTTAACATTGTTGGTATACAATAATACATAACATTATGCTTCTTATTCAGTGTGTAATGATTTGTTTTGTATTTTAATTGATTTATGGTAGAAACCCTGTTCTTAGCTCCATCAGCAGTGGCTATGGGGCTTGTTAAAATTATTTTAGTGTCCAACAAATTAGTCAAAAATAAATCTTCATTTTGAAAAAGATGAAGTGGTGGTCTTAACTAGATAAGCCATGTATATGATTGCATTTCAAGGCTGGATAGACATTGTCGTTACATGAGCCATGTGTGGAAGATAATAGAGTTTAAATTATTTTTAAAAAGGGAGTCCTGTTTTAATAAATAGTATATTGCAATATTAACATTTAACAAACCTTAAATGTTAACATTAAACAATATCATGAGGGAATGATTTCTTTGTCCAAATATAGTATATACTACTTAACGTGTGGTGGGATTTTCTGAAGGCAAAGAGCTGTACTTGGCTCTTTACTTAAATGTTAAATTAATATTAATGTTAATAGAAGAGTAGAAGCTGCACAAATGGAATTACACATACAGTAGTGCAGGTTGAAGTTAATTTACAACCAAATTTACAACCAAATCTAATTGATTCGTTTGAGGATGATATTGTTTTAACACTATCATATCTCATGAGGAAATTAATTATGCCTATGGAAATAATAAAAGACTTTGGAAACAAAGCAGTAAATCAGCTATGGCAAATCTAGCAGCTTAGATCTAAACCTGGATAAAAAACCTCAGAGATACCATTTAGGTGTAATTATACAAATTGAGCTTGTTAAAAGTGATGATTGCATGACCAATCAGTTACTACATATATTAAAAATTAAAATAGTTGGAAATGTTTGGCAATTAAAATGAAATTATTACCAAATTAACATTTATTTCATACATTGTGTCATTTCATACTTTAAATGAGCAATGACAATTGATGTTTCTACATTTTATTTTTGGTATTAAAAAGCCCAGGTTCAATGCAAGCGTTTCTACAACATTCTCTGCAAAACTGGGACTACTAGCTCTTTATATGGACTCCAGTAAGCAAGACAAAGAGTGCCTGACCTTTTTCTGGAGAGTAGCTTTCTTGGTCATGGCTGCTAACTGAAAATCTCTTACCCCATGGAAACAGATAATGACATTTTTATGGAACACAGTATCAGTGTATTGAATTGCTGAGAACACATGGCAACCTGAGACATAGAGAGCTCTGAGGAGTGATAACAATCAGATTATCTTGCTTGTATCAAATCGATATCCTGAGTGATCAGAAGGACTTTAAAGAAATTGACTCACATGATAATATTCTTTATCACTTTGAAAAATCCAAGAAAAAAAGGATACTAATTCCTCTACCCTCCCACTCCCAAGTTCTGTTAAAAGGCATAGTTTGGGGTTTAATACTACTTGCAGTTGATTCCCAGCCAGCGGTACAGTTGAGTCTGGGCTATGTGGAACACAGTAGCAACACTTTTTTCATTAGCAGCAACACTGGTGCCATCTGATGTTAACCACCCACCCTCAATTCTGTTCCCTGACCTTAGCTGCAATTTGCACAGTAGCTGGGGGAAAATTCATTTCCTCAGCAATAATGACTTGCTGTGACAGAAGTTTTGAATAGCTTGGTCTTGAATGGGGAATTAAGATCCATTATAATCTGTTCCTGAAGGAGAGGCAACTGGTTTTGTTCGTGTAGAACAAGACCTGCAGTTTTGGACTCTCTTTGGGGTTGTGACTACCAGAAGAGTCATGGTGAGTGCCTACACTTCAAACTGGACCAATTTACCACAGCTTCCCAAAGCTTTCTATAACGTATTTGTGACTAACATCATTTGTGGTCACAGATCTCGCCATATAATGATGGTTATTTTGCTGTCCTTGTTTCAGACACACACATACACACACACACACATTCTGCTTTCTGTTAAGACGATCCATCTTCAACAGTGAGACAATTTAGTTCTGCCTATCTCATGATGAATGGCTGAGTCCAATGTAGCCTTTCCCTCTGCAACCCTACCCCAAATCTGTTATGGGGGTCCCTTAACCCTCTGGAGCAGATGGGATCTGCAAAGGGAATTTGTTCTACATTGGTTTCCAACCCATAGGCCATACTCATGCCCTACATATAACCTGTGGAGAGAATAGAGTAGAACCTGTTTCTGAGTAAGTGTGCATAAGACTGTACTCTTAAGATTTGCTTCAGCCACAGGAGTATGACAGCTGTGCTAACCAATAACCACATGGCAATCCATTGAGAGTCCTTGTGGTTTGAAGAACTGTAATTATGCTGTTGAAACATACAGCTGAACAGGACGGATTTCAGGGTGCAAGGTTAAAATGACCAATTCTGAAAGGTGATCTTTAATAGCATGCATACCAAATATGCTATGCTAGGTAAATAAGGGACTGCAGGTGGCGCAGTGGTTTAAACCGCTGTGCTGCTGGGCTGGTAGATCGAAAGGTCGCCAGTTCAAATCTGCACAATGGGGTGAGTCCCCGTTGCTCCGTCCCAGCTCCTGCCAGCCTTGCAGTTCGAAAGCATGCAAATGCAAGTAGATAAAAAGGTACCACTTCGGTGGGCAGGTAACAGCGTTCCGTGCACTTCGGTGTTTAGCCATGCCAGCCACATGACCATGGAGACTGTCTGCGGACAAACGCTGGCTCCCTCGGCTAGGAAACGGAGATGAGCACCGTCCCCTAGAGTCAGGCATGACTGGACTTAACAGCAAGGGGAAACCTTTACCTTATACCAAATATAGTAAATGCCTTTAAAAATGCATTTGCTCCTCCCCATGCAGAATTTGAATGCTGACAGAAGTGACAGCTGCCACAGTAAACTAGAACTCATGACCACAGTAAACTTGTAGCACCAGCTGTGAACGGCTAAGGGGTTCTGACCCTCTGCGTCTCTCTTGTAATTAGAGGCTGATGTTGTCAAATTACATTCTCCGAGCGTGAAATCGTGACCGAACGAGTAACCTTCTGAACCGGTGCCAAGCCCTCCACAGGGCTACATTTTTAGACGCACTTTGAAGTGTCATGCACAAAGGGAGCAGAGACCCGAGCACTGCTGTATAAGATGTTTGCATGGTGAGACTACTAGAGCCGCCCTCCCAACCCCGAGTTGTCTTCTCGAGTGCGGCCGTGAGTCTCTCGCCTGATCTGCCCCCGCAGCAAGTCTGCTTTGGCTGGCAGGCGCGGCTGCTTCTGCCACAGGCGGCGTTCGGCTGCCCAGAGCAGGGGAAGAAGGACGAAGAAGGTGCCCCACCTGGCATGGCACGGCGGAGGACTCCTCGCTGAAATCGGCGCCTCTCGTCCGCAGAGGGTCCCCCAGCCCCAGAGAGAGGAGGAGGAAGAGGGGGCCAGTGGTGAAGGCACCGCGGGGGTCCCACACTCCCTTGCCCCGGGCGAATAAGCCCTTCGTGCCCCAGCAAGAGTTGCCACTGCTGCTGAGGGGGAGGAAGGAGACCTGTCCTGAGATGCACCGACCCCGCCATGTTACAACCATCTTCGAGTCCCGTCGCAAGCGCAGCCGCGCAGTTTTGGGCCTGCGGAAGGGGCGAGCACGTGGTGCGGCCTGCGGCCCTCACATCTTGGCGAGCCAACTGCGGGCTGTGCAGGCGAGCCGTCCAAACATCTAGCCTGGTTGCCCGCCCCCTTATTTCTTTGCTGGTTCCTGTTCCCCTTAGTTCTGTTTTTTCCCCTACTGCTTTGTCTGCCTTTCTCTTTCCACAAATAAAATAAAAACCATTAAGAAGGAAAGATGGAGTAACTACACAAGATCTTTCTGTCTTTCCTTTGGTCTCAGCTGTTGATGCAATACAGAGAGTCACGCGTGTCCTATTCAGACATGCAGAGCCAATTTGGGGAGCTGCACTGGGGAGGGGCAGGCTATTTATTCTACTAGAGTGGCCAGCCCTGGATCCAACCCCTTCCGTATTCAGTTTGAACCACGAGTTTCATCTCTCAACAGCTAGCTTTTCTTTGGGTGGATTCATTTTGCTTCCAAATTAATAGGACTTCAACTAGTGAAGTCACTATTGGAAGGAATGATAGTGCATCTCCACTCTACAAAGTGTTTAAATAAATCATTTGGCTCAGAGTTGTTCTTTTAATCTGGAACATTGTTTAATCTGGAAAATCTTCCTTCACATAGTAACTTTCTTTTAACATGTTTGATCTGCCAACCATACCTGCTGGTTGTGGATTACACAGTTATTTGCTAGTGCAATATAATGGTGGATAAATTTTGACAAGCATTTAGAATACTCCATTGCATTTCTCTTTCTATGCAAATACAGCAGTTCCGTCTGGGTCAGTGGGGCTGAGAAGGGAGGTGAGTCTGACATTTTAAAATAAACATTAAAAGATGATTTGATCTGAGTTGAAAGATCTGTGAAGATGAAACAGATACAAAGCTGTGACTGGCTGTGAATATTTGGTTGCAAGAACAAGAATTCATTTAAAGGTAATCATCAGTTATAACAGAAAAAAATCAGGTTGTGAATCTGAAAAACTTGCAGAACCATCCAAGGTAATGGAATTATTATCATCTTTGTTTCCTCATTATGAAATATTAACAAACTCATACTTTTAAGGATGTTACAAACTGCTATATGGTTTTAATACCTATTGTTGATGAAAACCAAAGCAGAAAAGATTTCAGAGTTAAGCATTAAAAGTGTTTACATTATTTCTTGGATGGGGCAAACTTTTTTACATTTCCAGCTCTCATGTTGATTCTATATCTGCTGAGATAGTGCTTTAGATTTCCTCAGTTTTTCAAAAGGACAGGATGCAATGTCAGTGATCAAGGATATATTTTTCCTGGAGGAAAGCCCAGAGACAACTTGCTGTTAATTTGCAACTTCTGTGAAACATTCACAGGACTGGATTTGCTACTCATTTCTGAAACCATTGTTCTCATTTCAGTTACTGTACACAATCTAGATTTATGAAATAAGTGATAGAGGATGAAATTATATGCGTAATATATATCAGGATGTAATATATTTTTCACATTTCCTACATTAGAACATTGGATTTAAAGAAACACAGATTCTAAATATTCAAATTTACTTAGTATACTTTTGTAATGGGACATGAATAATATTCTGGTATTTACACTTCAGTTAAAGGTGGTGCCGGGTCTTGGGTTACAATAACTTGTTTATTTTCTGA